CTCCTATATATTAATTCAAAACGTTGAACTTAGGTGATAGATTCTCACGCTTCGGATGCTGACATGGTGAAAATCTATAATTCGTGATGTTGTTTTTATATTATTTTTGCTCAGGAGTTAGGTTTGGTATTAGACATAAATAACTTTACACATATATTCATTAATTCAACTCTCATGTTGTACATGAGTATTAATACTCGTTTTTCATTATATTAGAAAAAATAATAATAAAATTTAAAAATTGACCGCCACTTTGAATAAACACTCTACAATGTAGGGTTGGAAAATGCTTTTTTCATCAACAAGCGACATAGATTTTTACACTGGGTTTGGATCCAAAAGAGCAAAAGAACTTTTTGACTTGAAGCTATTAATTTCATCAATGAAGAGAACATATATATATGTATGGGGGTTTGATTCAAATAAAAATTATGTTTGGTGTGATAATCGTGATAATCATATTTGATGCTATTTTTAATTGTGTATGATATTATTTTTAATATTGTATTGTACTATTATTTCCACAAATGCTAATAAAAATTTTTATTGCTATTTTTAATAAAATACACCTCAGTTAAAAATAACACTAAAACACAATCACCATAGCACTATTCACGGTTCTTGTCATTTTATATCATTTTAATATCATTTTGTGTTGTATCTTGGGTGTGTTTCCGATACTATTAGCCTTTCAAATTCTATGTTTTATGAACAAACTTTTATTTTGAGCTATAAACGGTAAAAAAAAAAGGCAATTTGCATTTATACGGTAAAGAATTTAAAAGAATTGCATAAATACAAAAATAAAAACTTATTTGCAAATATGTCTAGTTTAACAAAATTATTTGGATAACTACTGTCAAACAAAAAATAAACAGTTGCCATCATATGATTCCAGTAACTGACGGTATTCTTTCATTAATTAAAAAAAAAAAGAAAAAACAAAATCTGAACTATACAATCACAAGCAACGTCGTCAATCACGAGCAGTGTTAATCACAAGCAGCATCGTCCATTTTCTGATCAACGAGATGGTGAACACAACATATACAGAAAATATACATAATATAAACAGTATATATACGACAAATATACAATATATGTACTTCGGATCATGTCGATCCTTATAATTTTCAATTCAAATATTTCATACGAAAAAACCAAACTAGACACACTCTAATAGTGTGCATGTAAAAAAAAAAATATAAACAGTATATATACGAAAAATATACACTATATATACATGCAACTACACAAACAACGAAAAAGGTATAAATATACTACATATATACGACATATATACTGTCTAGTGGAGATGAAAATCGCGAGCAGGGAGATCGATGCCCTAGGTCACGGTTGCCCTTCGTCTCCTCACGCCGCCTTAAACATTCGCGAGCAGGGATCCGGAATTTTAGTTCACACGTAAGGCAGAGGCCGTCGAGAGCACCGCCGGCGGTGTAGCGGACGACGCCGTATAAGTCTTTATAGCAGGTGGAGGCGTCGACGGGGGGCACCCAGGAGGAGAAGACGAGGTCGAAAGGGTCGGGTTGGATGCCTTTTCTGAATTCAAGGATTGATCGGACCTCTTCACGGGAGGCGGAGGCAGGGCGGTGGATGATGAGGAGGAAGAAGATGAGGGTGAGAGTCATCGGCGGTATTTGCGAGAGAGAAAGAGAGAGTTGGATAAGTTTTCCCTCATTTAAGGAATATCTCATAACCTTATTTATGTTGAATAATAGAACTCACCTGTTTGCAATTAATATATAAGATTTGGTAGATTTGCTAAATATTTTTATTACCTCGTAATAGTACAAATAAGTTATTGTGGGGAAGTGTCAGGCACAATTTCCTCTAAAAAAATCGCGATGGGCTTCCTCAATAAAATAATTCCTCTCTTCAATCAAATTCGTCCAGGCCCAAAGTTCCATTTCCTTTGTAGCAAGTCCGTCCAAATTGTTGCCAAGTTCTCATCCTATAATAATTATTGAGGAAATTACCTCTCCCACTACACAATTACATTTTTATTACAAATTTATAACTCATATATATTTATTTGCAAATTAACTAAAATTATCATATTTATTTACAAACATACTAGATTGTTTTAAATTATGGTAAAATCAGATTTAACGATGGTCATCCCCTCTTTATTCTTCTCCTTCTCTTTCCAATCTTCCGCCGCTATTCTCTTTTCCCCACCGCCCCTTCGCCGCTCCGCCTCCGTCCACAAATCTGTTAAGAACCAATTTTTCGGCCACGTTTCCGTTCATACCCCACTCCTCATTTTTGATCTTGCACCTCTCGAGTCCCCTCAATTCCTCAAAGGCTGAAACCCTAATCGCCTAAACTCCACAAAAAATCGCCTCGGTCCTCCGCCCGTTTGCCTCGAATTTCACAATCTCTGCGAATGTGTTGAGAAATTCTAATAGTCTTGACACTGCGATTAAATAGAAAGAAGAAAAAAACGATCATTGTGGGAGGAACTGAAACGCCAACGAGTTTGGCGTCTCCGCCATTGTAGTATATTTATACTTTTTTTTTGTGTAGTTGCAGGTATATATACTGTATATTTTTTGTATATATACTGTTTATATTTTTGAATTGAAAATCATCAACATGATCCTCAGTATATATATTGTATATTTTTTGTATATATGTTGTTTATATTTTGTATATTTTCTGTATATGTTGTGTTCTCCACTGACAGAATATTTGTATTGAAAATCATAAAGATCGGCATAATCCTAGGTATATATATTGTATATTTTTCGTATATATACTGTTTATATTCTGTATATTTTCTGTCATGTTGTCTAATTTGTATATAATTAGAAGATATTTAGGAGAAATCGATAAATCACGTCCAGCGCAAATCAAGGTACAATTCAGTTTTGGTAACTGAATCCTGGTATTTGTACAATTAAATAGCATTTATTTGGTACAAATATAATAAAATATTTTACTTTCGTAGGTTTGCAAATATTTTCCAATGAATACAGTATAGATGTAAATTCCCCTTAATTATTTATTGGGCCCAAATTAGTAGCCTGAAAACTGTTTAGCCACAACCCAATAAGATTAGCGAGCCTTTGTTCAATAAATTCCACTTTTGTGGTATCGGGAGCCCGAAAATGGCTTATTTTAGATCCTGCCAAATGATTTGGGTCCATTAACATCCTCAAAAGATATTGAAAATTGCCACACAAGTAATGGAAGCATACAAATCTATCAAAAATAAATAAGTTAAAAAATATGAACGTGCGGATAAGTTAAGCGTAAAAAAAAAAATATATTACATATATAAAATATAAATATTTATCGACATATCATTCGACGTTGATGGGGGGTTTATTCCCTAAGGGGTTGCAATCGAGACTTGTAGCTCGACAATTAGCGGCAAGCGATTGTCGTGAGTTCAACGACATTGAGGTGACTGTGTTATAGAATTCTCATTGAATGAAGGCTTTGAATCGTAGATCTTCAAAATCAATTGCAGGACTTGGGGTTTATGATGAATCTCGGGCTGCACTCAACTTACCCAGATTCCAGTATGAACATAGGAAGATAGTACCAAATTTTATGAAGATGAGTCATTCTTTTAGCGTCAAATTGTTGTCGTGCAATTTTCGACAACGTAATAAAGAATTGTTTAAAATATGAAAATTAAAAAAATACTAAGATAAAAACTCTATATTTTTATTGATAATTTTAATAACATACAATATATGTTCAAGTTGGCATTTACTCTATATAATGCTTCCAAGTTCTCTACTCTTCTGATCGATTTCATAAAATCTAAGCTTCTACCAAAGAAGGGTCCATAACTTCTATTCAAGCAGTTTATGTACCTGCAGACGATTTGACCGACCCTGCTGTGTTTGTTAAAATTAGTTGATAAGCTAACTTATAGATTATAAGTGATTTTTGAGCGTATATCTTATGACTTATGGCTTATAACTGAAAAATTAGTTGAATAAAAATTCAATGAGCTTGTTAATTTGAAAAGCTACCCAAATAACAACCTTATGTGATAAACTCGAGCTTTTTAAAAAAGCTCGTCCTACCAAACTAAGTTTATTTAAATAAATAAAGCTTATATAAGCTAACCAAATAAACTGTAAACTAACTTATTTGAGTACCAAACATAACATATATTTATAGAGCATTTTAGTATATTGTAGTTACAATAGTTTAGTGCACATGTGTCGACTTGTAGAGACATCCATAACATGTTGAACGACATGTGTTCCATTAACTAAAAATGTGTTGTCAAGTGCATCTACTATCCAAGTGTTCTCATTAACAACTCTTGCTTATTCTTGGGTCGATAATATTGTTTTGACTGAGTTTTAACTTATATTTCAAAGTTCAAACCTACCCTCTCTAATGCATAAGAAGTATTAGAAGAAACCCAATTTGGAGAGGTTGAACTAACTCCCATCTATTTCTATATGGTTTAACAACCACATTATTAGCCACTCTATATAAACCACAACACCCAAACTCCATAGATCACTCAAAAAACCAATAAGTGCACACTACATAAACAATCAAAGAAGACTACTTGTTCTTAGTCACCTCACACCTCAAAACAATGGCAATCTACAAGCACACTTCCCTTTTCTTGCTATTGTTCGTTACTTTGTCGTCGATATTATGCAACACGATTCAAGTCGAAGCACGCCATCTCCTTGAGGTCCCACCCAAGCCTGAAATTCCATCTTTACCAAAGCCCGAGCTTCCCACATTGCCGAAGCCTGAATTACCAACACTGCCAAAACCTGAGTTGCAAAAACCCGAGCTCCCCAAACCTGAATTACCAACATTCCCAAAGCCTGAGTTGCCAAAACCCGAGCTCCCCAAACCTGAATTACCAACATTACCAAAGCCTGAGTTGCCAAAACCCGAGCTTCCCAAACCTAAACTACCAACATTACCAAAGCCTGAGTTGCCAAAACCCGAGCTCCCTAAACCTGAATTACCAACATTACCAAAGCAAACTACCAACATTACCAAAGCCTGAGTTGCCAAAACCCGAGCTCCCTAAACCTGAATTACCAACATTACCAAAGCCCGAGTTACCAAAACCTGAGTTTCCCACTTTGCCGAAGCCGGAACAACCAAAACTAGTAAAGGCCGAGTTGCCACCGTTACCAAAGCCCGAGCTTCCGCCATTGCCAAAACCTGAAATTCCAGTATTGCCAAAGCCCGAGATCCCTACATTGCCAAAATCTGAGCTTCCACCACTACCAAAACTCGAGATCCCCACATTGCCAAAACCTGAGCTTCCAACACTACCAAAACCCGAATTGCCAAAACCCGAGTTTCCAACTTTGCCAAAGCCGGAACAAACAAAACTTGCAACGACTGAATTGCCACAGTGGCCAAAGCCTGAGCTTCCACCATTGCCAAAACCTGAATTACCAACAGTACCAAAGCCAGAGTTGCCGAAACCTGAGCTTCCAACTTTGCCTAAACCTGAATTACCAACATTACCCAAGCCCGAGTTGCCAAAACCTGAACTTCCAAGTTTGCCAAAGTCAGAACAATCAAAAAAGGAAAAGGCCGAGCTACCATCATTGGCGAAGCCTGAAATCCCGAACTTGCCCAAACCTGAGCTCCCGACATTACCAAAACCAGAACTGCCATCGCTACCAAAACCTGAGTTACCAACTTTGCCGAAGCCAGATGTGCCCAAGTTGCCTGAACTCCCAAAGTTCCCAGAATCACCCAAGTCCACTTTGCCGGATGGACCAAAATCTCCTTAATTTATCATACATAGAGCAAAAGTATTACCTGGTGGCAGAGATATGATCCCATCATACAATGTACTTGAATGTGTGAGTTCTTGGTGTTGTTTACTTGTGTGTTGTTTGGTGTGTATTCTACAGGTTCATACCTCACTGTTTTTCGGTTTGTAATTTTCTTATACTGTTAATGCAATCGATATTCCTGATTGTTTGAGGTTTTAGCTAAAATATTGTCTTATTGGTGTTATAAAGAACGTCCTTTTTTTCCATTAACCGTGTTTAAGATTAATTCATTTTATTATAAAATTTGAGCTTCATGTATATGGCACACATAACTGAACTATGAATAAGTAATAAACAGAAATTGAAATGAGAACAAGTAACACACAAGGAAGTCAAAACAATCACAGCAGATGGGAAAGTTCACACAGTCAGAGGTTATTGTTGAGGAAAATCGACAAACAAACTAGCTTCGCGCAGAGGCCTTCAATGGGAATGAATTATCGTTTTTCTTATTTGAGGAGAGTCTTCACTAGGGATTTGATGTTAAGGTTCTTCAAGTCGGTATACGATTGCCCGCACCCGACAAACATCACAGGTGCTCCAGATAGGTATACCATTGACAATGCAGCTCCCACCTAAAAACCATTTATCACATAATTAATATAAATACCTAAAAAAAAAGAAAAAAAAATCGGCTAAATGGAGGAACGAACTAAGCTGAGCTTAAAAAGAGTTTGTCGTTTTACCTTGTCATCAATCGTATCGAATTTAGTCAACAGGATTCCATCAATGAACCTGGGATCGCTGGAGGACGACAGGTCACGTAACTTCTGCAATATTAAGGGGGTGAAAAACTTCTATTAATGATAAGTGGAAATAAAGAATTCGACTGCCTCAGACAAAAAAAGAAGTGAGTTGGACAAAAAGAAACGAAGTGGCTTAGACAAATCTTTTTTGTCAATAACCTCAGACCAATCAATTGAATGTTTTTTAATACGTAATCGATCGAACACTATTTGAAAACGGCTTTTCGGTCCAGAAAGGAAATGCAAAATAGAAAGCAGGACAAGTGCGATTGACCTGATTAAACTTGGACGACTGATCTACTGCATCATTACCGACGAGTGCCTCGCCAACAAACAAAACCAGATCAGGATTGTTCACGTGAATAAGCTTATACAGAGCTCGCATCAACGGTTCGTTATCCTGCAGGGCATAAATGACACCATATCATATGATACACACCATTATTGATTTCTCAATAGTAACAGACAAAGGTCAGCTTTTGTTGCAAGCTGGAAGTACAAGATAAGGCCTATACTGAAGAATTCTAACAAACCCACATTCTCAAAATATATTCCATATCAATCACCTGCATTCTTCCAGCTGTATCAACCAAAACGACATCCGAACCGTTTCGAGTGGCCTCCTGGATGGCCTCTTTTGCAACAATTGCAGCATCTTTCTCATAACCCTTTTCAAAGACTGGAATCTGATGGGAAATACAATGTATAATCAAAGTTACAGATATAAATCCAGCCAGATTTTAATAGGAGTGAAAAAATTAACAAGTCGAGCACAAACTCTACCTGGAGATTTCGTGCATGGGTACGCAGCTGCTCAATTGCACCTGATCTGAACGTGTCACAAGCAGCCATCGTAACGTTGATATTGTGCTGCTGAAGCCAGTAAGCAACCTGCAGAGAGGCATAATGAGGGAATTACAAGGTAAATGCATTCAACTTGACGAAAAAGAAAATTAATTTCGAGACATTGCTTATCAGGACTAACCTTAGCAAGATTGGTGGATTTACCGACTCCATTAACTCCAACAAAAACCACAACATAGGGTTTTCCTTGCTCCTTAGCAGCATGGACATCCCTAAAAAAGTCAATGGAGCGTCTTGGAGTTAAGATGCGGACAATAGCATCTTCCATGGCAGCCTGATGAGAGATGAATGCAAGTAACACTCAGTAAAAATAGGAAAAATTGAATTATAGAAATTTTTTCTCATTTAAGTAGGCATTTACTAAATTTGAGCGTCACTGAAATATTGTAAGCTGTAAAACAATGCTTGGGTACCTGAACTGTTGAAGAGACTCTTGTAAAAGAGGGTAGCTTTTTGCCCTCAAGACTCGCAGTTACTGAATCACAAAGTTTCTCAGCAATTTCTTCAGCCTGTTCGATAAAGTCATTCGGAAAAAACAGGGGCACATAATAATATCAAAGACAATATAGGTAAGCCAGTTGCCACATTAAACATCTCATTTAAAGTCATTTATAGATAAGATATGATTAACATACCACATTCTTCGTCATAAGTCTGTCCTTGAGAGCTTTAAGGGCTGGTTCTAGATCTGATTTCTCCAAGTTTGCTTTCCCTGCAATACTGCACACACACAGAACAATTAGGTCAAAAGAGATTAAGTGCATTATTGAAGTCCTTTAACTTTTCCCAACTCTACCGTATTGTATATTCTGATCATACTTACTATGTGAGTATTTAATATCCTTTTGCATACTATTTCATCATAATGAATTTTTTTACTGTAATCATATGAAACGTTGTTGCATTATGGATTATTTACAGTAAAAAAATTCATTATGATGAAATAGTATGCAAAAGGATATTAAATACTCACATAGTAAGTATGATCAGAATATACAATACGGTAGAGTTCGCAAAAGTTAAAGGACTTCTAGTACTTCAACCTAGACAAGAAACGCTTAAATAATAAAGACCACAAAACAATTAAAAGGCCTGTGACAAGATCAGCAATTCTCAAATAAAAGAAGCTCACTAACTCAAAAAATAAATAAATAAAGACAGCAACAACTTCATATTTAATACTATAAGGGATAAGCATGCACAGCTAAAGACAACAGATCTGCAGCATACATACCATCAGGTCCATCACAAGCCAAAACAAGAATGAACAAGAAATTTTACAGACTTGATGAGGTGCATGACAGCAACTATACCGCTGGAACATTGACGAGAACCACCCTTTTTTCTTCCCATCAGCACCACCATCCTTCTCAGTCTCTTCCTCCCCCTCCTCACACTCACTATCACTGCCAACAATCTCCTCTTTATCCATCATACTCTCCCCTACATCTGCCACCACACCCGACATGTTCTGCTCTCCATCCTCACCAGCCCCGTCCGTGTAATCGAGCTTCGTCTCCTTGGGTGAATCATCCCAAACCCGATTCTTTTTCGTCACCTTCTTCGGCTCCGCCTTCGGAACCCTTCCAGGTGCAGCCTCCACTTTCTTCGGGCCTTTCGACCTCTTGTGCAGCTTGTTCACATTCCCATTAGCGCTAATCACTTCCTCTTTTCTTGTACTACTGTTATTGTTATTCTTCCTATGGTTGCCATTTTCTAGTGGACGAGCTACCGCATCACCATCTTTTCCAGACTCGTTCCCGCTCTTTTTTTTATTGCCTCCATCAAAGGTGCCGTTTGCCACCTGTCCCTGCTTCCTTCCGAGATTATTATTACTCAAGGGCTTGGCCACCTGTTTCGACTTCTTCATCTCCTCTGCACGTACCTCGGCCTCCTTCTTCAGCTGCTGGAAGATATCATCGAAGTTTGCATACGAAGTCCGTTTGAAGTCGTAAATCTCGGAAAACTCTTTTTTCACCATGGCAAGAAGGTCATCCAAGTACAGAAAGTGGTGCATCCGCTGGTACACGGCAACAAACACGAGGCCTAGCTCGTTGTGAAAGGTCCACTTGAGGGTGTAAGCGGCCCTGGGGGCATCGTAGTTAGGGCCATCGTAGTTGTACGAGGCGTCGCCTGATCGCTCCTCGAGAAAGCATGAGCGGATGAGGGTATCGATGGGTGAGCCTCTGAGGGCATTACCGAGCTCCTTCAATGCCCAGAGGATCAGACCTCCTCTTGTGAAGATGAGCAGTTGCTCCAACATCCCGAAACACGAGTGGGTCATAACTTCTGTAAAAATAAACATAAAAGAGAAAAA